CACCTCTCTCTCCTTTCTGTCCACCCACTATGCTACCAGTGCCTACTCCTAACCCACGCTTCGCTCCACTTGGCTCCCAGCCTGCTCTCTGCCTGGTATGGACCCAGCTTATACTTTTACACTTCTTTCTCCCTTAAATAAAGCCCTCACCTTCCTTCGCACCTTCTCTCACTAAAAAAATACTAAAACTTACCTTCTTGCCTGTTTTATTTGAGCTGATATTCAGAATTTTTATCTAAACAGATAGCAAGGACCCTTAAGATATTAATATTAAAATAATTAATAACAACAGTGTGGGGACAATGATGTCAACATCCTTCTCACTTTTCACCACCTGAAATTGTCAAAGAATGCATCACTCCTGGGCGAGAGTCCCTTGAGACTGAAGCAGAGAACAGACTGAAGGGGCAGCCACAGGGGAACTGGGTGGCAGCTCTCCATGACTCTCTTTGGCTCTCTTGTAGAACTGTGAGAATTACTTATCAGTAAGGGATACTCAAGGAAATAGAACAGCAATATATGTCAAAGAAAAGGAATTCAGCTATTGGAAGAGCCTGTATTTTAAAAAGTTTCTGCTATCTAGCTTTTATTCAATATATTAAATCAAACCATTTTCTTCAAAATTATCAAAATGTTCATTCTACTGGCAATGATACACTTTAGAAGGCTATAAATTACTAAAGAAAATGTTTAGATGATGATCTAAAAATGTGCAAGGGTCTACATAGCTTTTCAGATTCTCGAAGGGGTATGTAAGCAACAAGAAATAAAGATCATTGTACTCTACCAGTTTTCATGGTATACGGCCATGTACCAAATCATGTCAGTGTTTAGAGAGATGGGGAAAAAGCAATCATTTTATTTTTTCCCATCACCCTTTGGGCTAATTAGACTTAAGACAGTTTTCTGCTTGCCTTACTTGAGGTCTCTTATGCAGTTGCAGTCCAATGGCAGTTGTCACTAGAAGCAGGGTCACCCAGCACAAAGTCCTCAAGCTATGACCTGCAGGCCAAATCCGACCTGACATCAGTATTTGCAAATAAAGCTTTACTGGAACATGGCATTTACATGGAACAGTCATTTATGAATTGTCCACGGCTACTTTCACTCTATGAAGGTCACAATTGAATAGTTGTGACAGAGACCATGTGGCCTGCAGAGTCCTTATACAACCTACATTAAAATGCAATAAACATTTGAATTTTCTTCAAGACCATTTGTTCTTTAAGCATGTCAAGCTGTAAGCTTACTCCCAACCCTACAGAATTAAGAGGGCCCTCGGGCTATTTGTACAGGCCAAGGAATACAGAAGCTGAATGAAGGTCAGGGGAATTCAGTCAATAAGTTTGATCCTTTCCTCCTTTATAGAAGGCTGGTGCCCAAGTTATCTAGGGAGTTGCATAATTTAAATATCTCCTGATGCAGAGGAGTTTCTTCAACTAAAGCAGTTTACAGAGCTTTTTGTGGGGAGCAGCCCGGACTGGACTGAGTTACTGGAATTAAGACTTATTCTGTGCATCTGCTCTCCCACAATATGGCGCTGGGAGAGAAGTAAACAGCTTCCGCACAGCTGCCTCCAGTTCAACCAATAAACTGTAGGACTTGCTACTGATTGGAGGAGAGCAGCGTACTCGGCGTGTGGGCAGCCGAGTTGAGATTGGCAGAGGAGGACTATAAAGGAGGAGAGAGACGGCATGCACCAGGAACATCTAAGGGGAACATCTGAGGGAACACCTGTGCAGCCCCCGAGAGAACCGGCCGGCGGTGTGCCGCTCCCCTGCGGAAGTGGGGAATGTGGCCAGGGGGAACTGCCCTTCCACGGAGGTGGAAGGGACAGTAGCCAACCCGGGAAGAACCAGCAGCAAACTCGGGGAGGGCCGAGCAGACGAAAGAACAGCGCAGGGTTTAGTGTCGTTCCTCCATGAAGAGGGGGAGCGACACTTTTCTCTCAGCGATCTCCCTTAGGATGCAAAAAGTGGCATGGATCTTCTGGCCCTAGGGACAATATAAGTGCTCTAAGAGCTGTGTGCTGACAGGCTTGTCCTTCCTAGTGACTAACAAGTTGTTCACACATTTCAGATTTATTGGGCTCTAAATATTGAGAGTGAACTGGGTTGAATGAATTAATTTTATTTGTAATACAAGCTGTCTGTTGACTTAAGGCAATTGCACATATTAATTCCTATGTTTGGAATGTTCTACATACTTGTCACCCAGCTAGTGTCTGCCTATCCTTGCTCTAACCTTAAACATCACCTCCATAGAAGAATACACCTTACCTGTCCATGAAGTTCTTAAATTGACCCACAGCACTATGAACTTTCCTTTATGATTCTTATCCCAACGTGTGCAACTATCAGTGAGTTTGAGGTTCCTTCTTTACCGTTATCCCCCCTATGTACAATGTGGCAATGGGACAGTCTAGTCCACTTTGGTGAACCCTGTATTAATATTCAGCCAGCTGAAGTTTCCGGCACATGGGAGTTTCCAATAAATATCCGTTGGGTGAATGAATGAAAGCTAAATTATAAAAGAATATAAATATATGGGCTCAAACTCTTATAATCCTTCAAGTTAACCAGAAACATTTAGGATCACTAAGTTATTGAATAGCTAGTATCCTGGAAGCTAGAAAGCACCTTTTGAGCCAGAATTACTGTGGATTTTATCCTTTAATTTACAAAGTGCTAATGGATTGGATGTTCTTTTTTTAAAAAAAAAAAAAGATTATTTATTTGAAAGTCAGAGTTACACAGAGAGAGGAGAGGCAGAGAGAGAGAGAGAGAGAGAGAGAGATAAAAAGAGAGAGGTCTTCCATCCAATGGCTCATTCTCCAATTGGCCACAATGGCCGGAGCTGTGCCAATCCAAAGCCAGGAGCCAGGAGCTTCTTCCGGGTCTCCCACGTGGGTGCAAGGGCCCTAGGACTTGGGCCATCCTCTACTGCTTTTCCAGGCCATAGCAGAGAGCTGGATGGAGAGTGGAGCAACCCAACCTTGAACTGGCACCCATATGGGATGCCAGCGCTTCAGGCCAGAGCGTTAACCCGTTACACCACAGCGCCGGCCCCTGGATTGGATGTTCTTTTCCCCTCAAGTTTTATGTGTAAATCCTAACCCTGATGGGATGGATGGTCTTAGGAGATAGAAGAAATTCTGGGAAGCAACAGGTCTGGTAAGTGGCTTTCATGATGAGATTAGTGCCCTTTTAAGAAGATATAGGACAGAAAAAGCTTTCTCCACCATATGAAATAGCAAAGCAACATGCAGACCAGGAAGAGTGCTTCATCACATGCCGAGTCATCCGCTTCCTTGATCCTGGACTTCACGACCTCCAACAGTGGTAAGTGCACGTTTCTCGTTTAATCCCTCCTGTCTATGGTATTGTTCCAACAGCCCAAACCAACTAACTCATGAAGACAATGTTAACTTTTCTACTCCTGGTTTAGAAAACAGTGCTTGTCATCTCTAGGTTTCATTGTTTGAACAAACTTTCACCATTGAAAGATTGTTTTCCCCTTCATTCACATGCTGAACTCGTCACACAGCCACAATTGGATTTAGATTCAGATTCATTTTGGAATTTGTAACATCAATCCCCAAAATACTAAGTATTAATACAGTTATAGCAAAGAACTTTTAAGTGTAAATCATTATCAAGAATGTACCATATACGAGGGGACTTGAGATTCTGGGAAAATCACATCATCTCTTTTTTTTTTTTTTTTGACAGAGTGGACAGAGAGAGAGAGACAGAAAGGTCTTCCTTTGCCGTTGGTTCACCCTCCAATGAGTGCCATGGCCGGCGCACCGCGCTGATCCGATGGCAGGAGCCAGGTACTTATCCTGGTCTCCCATGGGGTGCAGGGCCCAAGCACTTGGGCCATCCTCCACTGCCTTCCCTGGCCACAGCAGAGAGCTGGCCTGGAAGAGGGACAACCGGGACAGAATCCGGCACCCCGACCGGGACTAGAACCCGGTGTGCCGGTGCCTTAAGGCAGAGGATTAGCCTAATGAGCCATGGCGCCGGCTCACATCATCTCTTAATTACACTTTTCATGAAAATTATTACGCCCCCTAAAATGTACCAGAGGTCCTGGGTCCAACAGCTTCTTATGTAAATTGCTAGAGACTAACCTGAGTAACGTCCAGTGGTGCACTTCTGGTGATCCTCAACATTCAGCTCCCAGAAAGAGTCTGCAGCATTTGCCAATCTTCCCACCCCGTGAAAATACTTCCACTCTAACAATCTGAAGGCATCAACCTTAAGTGGTTAAATGCAGAGCTGGAGAAGGATGCACACAACTGGCCCTCCTGAGCCAGGATATGGCAGCTTCAACACTGCACTTATATTATTGGCAATATTTAATAACTACAGAATTGTTACCAGCTAAGGAATCTACCGTAACATTCAGAACTCCTTCACCATCTTATTCCACAAGAATTGTATGATCTTAGTTGGTTCGGTAAGATTAATAGTTCATAGTTAAAAGCTGGACATAACCTTCACCATCAGAATTATGGGAACTCAAGCTCCCTATCATTAGGGAAAAATATCTAATGTTCCTAGCTTTCTGAAAACAAACTTAATTTGCTTATTTAAACATATGGAGGTTTCCTGCTTTTAAGGGTAAAAGACCACCTCAATCTTGTTAATAAAATTTATAAGCAATTCAATGGAAGGAGAAATACTAGACTTTGGGAGAAAAAAAATTGACTACATTCACTTCTTTTTAAGAATCTGTCAAGAATACTTTGTCACAGAGAGCTGGATTCAATAAAAGCTTTTTTTTTTTTTTTTTTTTTTAATAAAATCAAAACCCAAGAGAGGCCATTGTGGTCACTTGGACAAAGCTAGTTTTATGATCACATCAATCTAAGCACCATATTTTTCAAGTTTATGAACTGGAAAAAACAATCAGTATAAATAAGAATGGTCACCAATTTGAAAATATAGAAAAATTAAAATAGCCCAAACATTCAGAAGAAAGGAATATGTAAATTATGGCACATGGATTTAATGGTACATGCAGTCACTGAAATACATTTATAAAAGAAATTCGATCCCAAATGTTATGTCAGAGGTGGGCGGGGGGGAGGAAGAGCTGAAAATTTTTACAAACAGTATATATCCAATTCTGACTTTAAAAATCTCTTATGCCTTGAAAACAAAATGGGAGGAAAACATTCAACTATTAAAATTGTATACAAAGATGTTTTTATAAGTAAAAGCACACTAAGTTTAGAAAAGGTTAAATAAACCATTTAATAAAGAATGCTTTGAGAAGTATGTACTTTGCTTTGGCTTTCTCAAAATTTCCTAAGGTTAGCACATTACTTATTTTACGAAAACTTGATAATCACCACAGTTAAAGTGTTGTCTTACAGAACTTCCGAAGTGGGGAGAGGGAAAGTCTTGACTGGCAAATGAGGTCTTTTTCTTCACTGTTTAACCTCCATGTCTCACGTCAACATACCTGTGTGATTTCCCTGCTTCTTGCCAATGCACCCCTGGGAGGCAACAGCAATGGCCCAGGTAACTGAGTTCCTGCACCCTACATGGGAGACCAATTATTGCAGGTATTTAGGGAGTGAACAAGCACAGGGCACACTCTCTCAAATTTTTAAGATGCAGATGCAGATGTAGAGACAGAGGTCTTCCATCCACTGGTTTACTCCTGGCTCTGAAGCCAGGAGCCAGGAGCCTCCTCCAGGCTTCCCATTGCAGGTGCAGGGGCTCAAGGACTTGGACCATTCTCTACTGCTTTCCCAGGCCTAGCAGAGCTAGATCGGAAGCAGAGCAGCCAGGACTCAAACTGGTACCCATTTGGGATGCTAGCACTACAGGCTGCAGTCTTATCCACTACGCCACAGCACCGGCCCCATAAATAAAATTTTTTAGAAAACTAAAAAACTAGTCTCCAGAGCAACTAAGTAACTGAACTTAAATTTCAAGGCAAAATGTTCAGAGCATTTTTTTTTAACAAATCCACTTTTATTTATTTACTTTTCAATAGTTTAAATCCTTGAGGGGTACAGCATCACACGGATTCTGTGTCCAATGGCCTTCCCAGGAAGGCTGCTTCGGAATTTGGCACAAACCATGCCATTGTTTCCGTGAGCGCAAGTTACCTTTCCCCAGATTACTCTGGTTTTGTTAGGTTTGCCGCCAGGAGTCACTGTGTTGTTCTTTGCTTTGTACACATAAGCACACCTCTTGCCCAAGTAGAATTCAGTTTCATCCTGAGCATAAACACCTTCAATTTTAAGCAGTGCTGTGTATTCCCTTTGGTTCCAGAGACCTCGCTTATAGCCAGCAAAAATGGCCTTGCACCACAGTCTTCCAGACATAGCTGCCTTCTAGAAGTCCTGCTCCCTGCAGGCCTCCACAGGCTCCAAGATGGCGGAAAGAGCCAGATCATTATTTTAAAACACAAAAATTTTAGATTACACAAAACACAGTAAAACACTACAGGATCACAAATATCTTGATACAGTCTATTAGTCTGGGGAAATTAGCAAGGCCTTCAATTACACCTCCACTAAAAATCCTATTTTTCATACATATTGTAACTATACATTTCTTGGTATTGGCAGATGCTTGGAAAAGCCAAGGGGTCTCAAACGTGACTATGAATGTTCACAATGCCATCATCTCAGGCCGGCACCGCGGCTCACTAGGCTAATCCTCCGCCTGCGGCGCCGGCACACCGGGTTCTAGTCCCGGTCGGGGCGCCGGGTTCTGTCCCGGTTGCTCCTTTTCCTGTCCAGCTCTCTGCTGTGGCCTTGGAGTGCAGTGGAGGATGGCCCAAGTGCTTGGGCCCTGCACCCACATGGGAGACCAGAAGCACCTGGCTGCTGCCTTTGGATCAGCGAGGTGCGCTGGCAGCAGCGCGCCGGCCAAAACGGCCACTAGGGGGTGAACCGACGGAAAAAGGAAGACCTTTCTGTCCACTCTGCCTGTTAAAAAAAAAAGTCATCATCTCATGCTCACGTGGCTTCAGAATTACCTGCAAGAACATTAGTGGCATGCACACAAACGGCTGAGTAACCTGTGTCCTTGTTTCCTCATATTAAAATGTGAATAAAAGTGTCCAGAGTTGTCAAGACCAAAGTTGTTTGGTATTTTTTTTTTTTTAACAGAGTGGACAGTGAGAAAAGTCTTCCTTTGCTGTTGGTTCACCCTCCAATGGCCGCCGCACCGTGCTGATCTGAAGCCAGGAGCCAGGTGCTTTTCCTGGTCTCCCATGGGGTGCAGGGCCCAAGTACCTGGGCCATCCTCCACTGCACTCCCGGGCCACAGCAGAGAGCTGGACTGGAAGAGGAGCAACCAGGACAGAATCCAGCGCCCCGGCGGGGACTAGAACCCGGTGTGCCGGCGCCGCAGGCGGAGGATTAGCCTACTGAGCCGCAGCGCCGGCAGTTTGGTACTTTAAACCAGACTCCTGGCAAACTAGGAGTCATCATTATGTGGACACGGAAGTATTGTAGTTACTCTTAACTGTTCACAGCTAGCTATTTACTAGTTCTGTAACCCCTCTCCTCTTCAAGAACTAGTTGATAGGGGCCAGTGCTTTGGAGCAGTGGGTTAACGCCCTGGCCTGAAGAGCTGGCATCCTATATGGGTACGGGTTCGAAACCTGGCTGCTTCACTTCCTATCCATTCTCTGCTATGGCTTGGGAAAGCAGATGTCCCAAGTCCATGGGTCCCTGTCCTGATCGGTGCAGCTCCAGCCGTCGCAGCCAACTGGGGAGTGAACAACTGGATGGAAGACCTCTCTCTCTCTGCATAACTCTTCGAAATAAAAATCTTTTAGGGGAGGTCAGGGTTCTTCTGCACAGTGGGTTAAACTACCACTTGTTACATCAGGGAATGTAAAATTCACTGCCTTTCAAGTGAGCAACTTTTAGGAAAAGAAAAATCGGCCGGCGCCGTGGCTCACTAGGCTAATCCTCCGCCTTGTGGCGCCGGCACACTGGGTTCTAGTCCCGGTTGCCCCTCTTCCAGGCCAGCTCTCTGCTATGTCCCGGGAGTGCAGTGGAGGATGGCCCAAGTGCTTGGGCCCTGCACCCCATGGGAGACCAGGAGAAGCACCTGGCTCCTGGCTTTGGATCAGCGCTGTGCGCTGGCCGCGGCGGCCATTGGAGGGTGAACCATCGGCAAAGTAAGACCTTTCTGTCTGTCTCTCTCTCTCACTGTCCACTCTGTCAAAAAAAAAAAAAAAAAAAAAGGGAAAAGAAAAATTAGCAACGACATGCTGTGAATACTGAAGCCGAAAACATTTACCTATAAAGGGTATTTTTAACTTCAAAATTCAAATTTTTTTAAAAAGATTTATTTACTTGAAAGGAGTTACACACAGAGAGGAGAGGCAGAGAGGGAGGGAGGGGGAAGAGATCTTTCATCCTCTGGTTCACCCCTCACATGGCCTTAACGGCAGGAGCTGGGCTGATCTGAAGCCAGAAGCCAAGAGTTTCCTCCTAGTCTCCCATGCATGTGCAGGGGCCCAAGGACTTGGTCATCTTCCATTGCTTTCCCTGGCCACAGCAGAGAGCTGGATTGGAAGTAGAGCAGCCAGGACTTGAATCAGCACCCGTATCAGACGCCGGCACTGCAGGCGGCAGCTTTACCCTCTAAGCCACAGCACCCGCCCCTAAATTCAACTTTTAAGTTCACTAAGATTGCAAAAATTTACATAATTCCTTTGCTACTCTGAGGTTTTATATCCCTTAGTTTATGAAGGTTCTCTTCTCATTGAGACTGAAAATAAACTTGCCATGGCTCCTAGAATTGGTCTTGGATTCAAATGAGCCTACATATGCATGCACAGCACTTGGGCTGGTGCTGTACTCTCAGCATGTAAAGATCCGTCACACCACATAACCTTGTCAGGAACACAGTTCCCAAAACAAAATACAGTACAGTCCATACTTTAATGCTGGCTTGAATTATAAATGTAATATAAATTGGAACTTGATTTTACTAGACCCACCACCCAAGATTTTGTATTTAGGAGCCATTATTTGTTGAATGAGTAGTTTTAAGCTGCAAAAGATCAATTCTGAACTGAAATGAAAAAAAAAAATGGTATAACATTCCATTCTAAGTAATTTAAAATCAAGTTTCCATCCTTTGTAAAAATGATCTAAATGGTATTAAAGAAAGGTTCACGGCCATTTTTCAAGCTACTCCAATACCTTCAAAACTGTTCCATGAAAAAAAAAAATCCAGCCAATGAGCTCCACTTTTGTTTCCTATAGAAAAACAGCTGAAAAATCATTGAGCCCCCAAATACCATGACAAGAAACCTGCACACTGACAAATTAGAACAGAAAGAACACAAAACAACCTTTTGATTAATTACTTGAAAGTTTCATGTTTTTATTTAGCTTTCTGACTCTGTGCTTGTGCCTTCAACACTTTCACAACGATTTTCTGCTCCTCGATAAGGAAAGCACGCTTGATCCTAGAAAGGAAAATATTAAAAGTTCTTTAGAAAAATCAACTTCTCTTTTGATTCAACACAGGGTAGGCAGAAAAGGTACCATTTAAGACCCAAGTAAAGCAATTGAGAAATATGAGTGTACTTACCCCCCTCTTCTGAGTTATGATTATCATAAAAGCATTCCCACTGCTGCTTATGATAGCTTTCAATTAAGGTAATTTCTGTTACTAGGATCCAGGACACTACCTGATTTGTAAAATGCCTTAGGATGTTGTAACTGCATTGCTGATCCAGTAAAAAAACACAGAAGGCTATGCACTGGCAACTCAAATTAAAAAGCACTGGATCAAGACAGTAATTCCAGAGGCTATTTGGAACACACTCTACCACTTATCCAGAAGATACCTTCTCTAAGGCACTGAAATAACGTTGAACCTACTTTGCACAGATTTTATGAAGATTAAATTTGGAAGGATTCTGTGAACTTTGATGTCCCCTGTAGAGTGCATCTTATTGATTACTATCATCAATAAGTGTTGTAACAGGACTTCCCTGGCAAAAATCAGGAGCTTGCTAGCATTTATTCAATTAGTTCAAGGTAAAGAGCCTGCCTTTTCCCACTTAAAGCCTGTGCTGCTCTGTGTTACCCAATAACCCAACCACAAATCTCTGGGACTCCTTCAAATCTCCTCAATGCATTCACATTGGCAATACAACTGATACCAACCTTAAAAAAAATTCCCTCAACTTCCCCAGAGCAAAGGCCACACACACAGAACTGCTTACCACATCAGCTAATAAGGTTAGGCCATCCTGTAAAACAAAACTCAAATGCCCAGCTAGGAGTTAGGGCCTCAGAATTTGCATTCTTTACCAGCGTCCCCATGTGATCACATTTGGTCAAGCTTGGGAACCAAAAGTGAGGTAAACAAATTCCGTTAGTTGGAAAAGTTATGACCCGTTTACCTCCAATGTTCCCAATTTCACTCATGGTTCTTCACTCACAATTCCTACTGTGCCAGATCAAACCGATAGGTTACTCCTCTCCTCGAACGCTTTCTGCTTCTTGTCCACAATTTACGAACCATTCTGGATCCACCTCAAATGCCATTCTCAGATTCTC